TGTCATGGACAAAACCAGAATAACATTATCGACTTCAGAGTCTGTACCCAGTAACCAGCACTTTATATCATCATTTTCATCGCCAACACCCTGTGATTCATTTCTTTCCATTTAAAAAAAAATAACAATATCGTATTTTATGTAATGCACTGTAATCATATTTACCTCCACCTAAACTCTCTTGCTAGGGCACATTGTGTTCAGAGTCTGATCATTTCTTTGTTACTCTGCTCCTTCCCCCTCCCCCCCAAGATGTATTTGTTTTATTTCATGAATGTGCACAATGCCTGGTGCCCATGGAGGTCAGAAGAGGGTGTTGGATCCTCTGAAACTGGAGTTATATATGGTTGTAAACCGCCAGTTTGTGTTGGGAATTGAATCCAAATCCTCTGCTAGAACAAATGTTCTTAATCATTAAGCCATCTCTCCAGCCTATTTGTTTCTCTCATACTTTTCAGGTTTATTTTTTTCAATCAATCCAGAGATTCAAACTTAGAAGGAAATGCTCTCTGTGGGTTCAACCTACATCTCTTAGTAATCTGTTCCTGGCAATTTTCTTTGGCTTCCTTTATCTTCTTGATCAAAAGATTAGCATATTTTGCAACCCCCTATTTTTATTTTTTCTTGATGCATTTTTTTCTTCAGAGAAATGTATTGACATTTGTGCTGCAGGACATGGAATAAGAAGACACTGCCTCTTTGCAGCTTTGATTGTGTGTATGTTACCTTTCTTGCTTAAGGGTTTTTTGACAACCTATTGGCAACCTTCTTAAGAAGGATTGAAAAGTGTGCAGCTTCAGCAAGCTCTTGGGATCCCAACCACTGAGGCACGGTGGTATCTATCAGCCTTCTCTTTTTGTTGACCACTCAGACTGGCATCCTCACACTGCATCCCCAGACTTGCTCTCCCTCTCTCCAGCTCTCCTTGGTCTATAACAAGAATGCCCAGTACTCAACAGCAGTCATCCTTTGACATGAGGCAAGACACCTTGCTTCATGGGAAGACCTTGTTTGTTGTTCTCACTACAGATTAATAAAACCTCATCCTTCCACTCTCTGCCCAGAGCATCGGCAGCACCTTCTGTGACTGTGTACTCCTCATAGAAAGCACAGGTTTGCTTTCATTGTCCCCTGCAATGACTTTATGACAGCTGCTGGCTGAGAAGAAGATGCTTAGCTTTGCCTTGATGCAGTTGAACATCCTCTAGGTCCCATGGTGGGGGCAGGAGAGGCTGGCGTGTATCTTAAAAGTTCGACACAGAGGGATACCAGCAAATACTGTTAGAAAATCCTCCCAGACTTAAGAAACTGATGATTTAGGATGGGAATGTTTAATTGTAGCAGTGAAGATTTTAGATCTAGAGATTGTCCACGAATGAATTGGCTCATTATGGTAACAAAAGCAAAGGGCTGTTTGAGAAATGGGAACGCATTAGGCACAGCTTTTATCAGCATCGCTTTCAGAGGCTTCCCTGTGTCAGCCGGTCGGTATTTATGCCGTGGGAATTAAGAAATGGCATATGTCGGAGGTTTACTTTTTTATTTCCTCTCTTTCTTTTTCTTCCTTTCTTTATCTTTCTCTTTTTCTTTCTTTTTTATTTTTTTGTATAAAGCAACACATCACTGACCAAGTGCAGGAACACACTGACACATTTGAATTTTAGGAGACAGAGAACTATTTTTTTTGTTCTGGTGTTATCTATTCATGTCTATGATTATGGAGAATAATTAGCGACAGGGTATTTAGGTGGTTGGAGCAGACGAGTAACATCTAGATGGCTGGTGACATTGGTGTTGGCATCACACATCCGGCAGAAGTTTGAAATAGATGGTCCCCGTCATTTCACCCGACTTTGAAAAGACATCATTTTATCATAAAAGGGAATGGTAAGGAACGGCAAACACAGAGCTGAAGAGATGGCTCAGAAATGAAGAACACTGCTTTCTCTTCCACAGGACCCGAGCTCAGGTTCCAGCACCTACATTGTAGCTCACAACCATCTGTGTCTCCAGTTCCAGAGGCTCCAACACCTTCCAGACTCCACAGATGTTGCATGGATGTCATACATAGATATATATGCAGGCAAAACACCTGTACATATAAAATAAATAAATAAACAACCAACAAATTCTATTTCACTTTTTAAATTATATAAAGTTATCCAATTATTCATTAAGTTCTGTTCAAAAGCCTATAATCCTATGATTTAAAACTGTACCACAATTAAAAAAAAAAGTAAGTATTTCAAAAGTTAAAATCATGAAATTTGTATAAGAGCTTTAGTCAGAAGAAAAAAACTGGGTCCGTTTTATGTACTTTTTTAATTCGTAATTTCTCATCTTGTTTAGAAAATTAATTGCTGGGCTTTGCCAGCAGCTTTTCTGGTCTGTCTCTCTGGCTCCCGGTGTCAGCGCGGGAACTACAGGGTAGTTCAATATGGGTAATTAGGCAGAAGCCTTGGGCGAGAGCGCAGTCAGAGGAAGCCTCGATGCTGAGTTCTTACGAGATGAAAGTACTGAAACCGTATCAAAACCAAACATCAGAGAAACTTTACCAATTGACAGTAGACAAATTAGAACTTTTCCTCCACCTTTTGTGGAATATTAATTTTGCTCCTTAGTTCTTCAGCGGCGTGTAAAACGACATTGATTCCTTGTGTGTCTGCCCACGCAATTCATAAAGAGCAGGTGAAAGCGATGTGAGGCCACACCTTGTTCCCTACGCTCTCTCTTGCTCCATGGTAAAGGCAAAGAACTGTTTCTCAAGAGACGGCTTCAGCCACTTCATGTGTATAGTGCTTCTGTAATCCAATGCTTGCCAGGGGTACGTTTTTTCAGAGTTTCCCTAATGCTGTTCTGAACCCTGCCGTGTCTTTTATCGCTGAGTTTTAAGATATTTCAGAAGAGGATAAATTCTCCCCTTTTTCTAGTGTGGAGAAAAACCTATCTGCCCCTGCTTGTGAACAAGGATCAATAATGATAGTTACACCAATATTAGCCCTGACTGCTCCCTGAAATCAATATTTGTCCCAGTCTCAGAAGCTTTTAACCTAAACTTGGTATGATCTCTGTAGCAGGCTTTCCTTTTAGGCCACCAACTAGCTCCCAAATCAGGAGATGGAGACTCAGTAGTAACAAATATTTGGCCTTCGTATAGTCTTGTTTCTTGCTAGCTTTTATAACTGAAACAGTTTCTCTTCATCTACATTTTGCCTTGGGGCTTTTTACCTCTCTTTCCTTCTGTATATCATCTTGCTTTCATTGTTTCTCATGTCTGGCAGGCTAGTGGCTGTCTGGCTTCTGGCCCTGGGCGTGTCCTTCTCTTCCTCCCTCCTTCTCTCCTTGTTCTCCCTGGAGCCTTGATTCCTCCTCCTATTTCTTCTCTCTGCCTGCCAGTCCCACTATTCCTCTCCTGCCTACCTATTGGCTATTCGGCTTTTTATTAGACCAATCAAGTGCCCATCTATATATAATTAAACCTATGCAGCAGACACCAATGTAACACACCTTCACATAGAGTAATATTCCGCAGCATAAACAAATGCAATATGTCTTTGCCTAGTTAAAATAATATTCCACTGCACATCTCCACCCAGATTAACTCTTGTCAAGATCCCATGACATGCAGTTGTTCTTCATCCCTGGCACAATTCCAAGGTGTGGCTCATTGTAACTAAGCAGCATTTCATATATGTAGCGGAAGTCCTTGGTGGGAAGATGGGATGTTTATTCTTGTTCAGTGCTCTGCTGGTACAGGTTTCTTTAGACAAAGACACAAACCTTAGAAGTTATAACAGAAAGCTGTCTCTGTCCACTTACCCTTTCTTGCCTATGTGCTTTTCCTGTTTGTGGAAATGGAAAAAAAAAATAGAGGCTGCTGCAGTGTTTACTTGGCTCATTTTTGGAGAGCCCAGAAATAGCAGGATACACTAGAGAACTTGAGTTAAGTTCAAGGGAGATCCAGTAGGAGGAGCAAGCTTACAGTTCTCTATGGCAGACTTAGCTAGAGAGACGCTTCTATTGTTGTGATTTGCCTTTTCAGGTCTCAGGAGACTGAGTACTTCCCATCCCCTAACTACTTGCTACCATTGCTAGGATAATTCATGGGGGGGGGGATTAATAACTGTGAAGGATCTATCAAAATATAAACCAAGAGCTGAGGGCTTTCTTTCCTTGTGTGTTTGAGTCTCACCGTGTCCAGAAATTGTCGATTGTATCCCTTTGAGCTTGCCTGCAGCAACCAGCCTAACAGTGGTCTGACAGTAGGATCCACTGACAGCAAAAGATTTTCTTTATTTACAGATCACACGGGTTTGACATAACTACACCATGGCTCCTACCTGGCTTACTGATCCTATGAGCACATTGCATTGTAGGATAAACATTTTAGAAAGGCTAAAATTGTGAAAATATGTGTGGCCGGAGAGAGTAAATTAAAGAGGAAACCAGGGAGAATTTTCTAAACCAACCCAGCACATTTGCAAATCTGGTAAATAGCCTATGAAGAATTATTTCTGATAGCTTGTCATTGCTAATCCAATTTATAGTCTTTCGATGTGTGTTTGATCAAGTGGAATGAAAAGAAAAAATGATATACTCTAATTTCTATGTTTTCTTCATAGTTCAATGAAACTTAAATTCACAGTGTAGGATGGACGGTTGCCGTCATCACTCACCCTATAAAAGAAGTTAATTTAATAGGTGGGGACTATTCTTTTACATGTGGAAAGCAATATTGTCACCCTCTTCTCCTTCAATTACAATGTGTGAAATCTCGTTAGAATTTTATTGAAGATGCTTTTATAGTTCTTTGTGTTTCATTACCTCCCAAAGCAATTTCTATAACATACCATGGCAAGAACTGAACTCTATAGAAAAGTCCATTCTCCGGCAACATTAGTGCATGCCCCTGGAAGACCAATCTGTATAGACTAATTGTTCAATGTGGTGAATGTTCTGTCTGTTGGGACGGCCCCATGCACCATTTCAATGATTCTTTTTTTTTTTCAAGGTCTGATCATTTATTTGTTACCCTTACAGACTTATTTTTGACTGGACTCAGACTTAGAAGTAGAAGCTCTCAGCGAGGACAGCCTTCGCCTCTTGGCAATCTGTTCCTGGTGCTTTTCTTTGGCTTCCTTCATTCTCTTGGCCAAAAGTTTAGCATATTCTGCAGCCTCCTCCTTGTACGTTGTCAGAAAGCCTTTAAACAAAGAAGCATTTCAGTGATTCTAAACTGTTCATCTAGAGTAAGGCTTCCTATTCTCACTCCTGTTGACACTCGGGACAAGGTAAGTCTATGAGACCTGCCTAGTGTAGTAACTTAGCCTAAGTCTTAGCTCTGGGTATCAGAAACAACTCACTTCAAAAAGTGGTCATGAAAAATAGCTTCAGGCTGGGCCTGAGCACATCCCTGCAATCCAGTTGCTCATGAGGCAGAATAAAACAGTTGAAAAGTTAAGACCTACTTGTGCCACAGAACAAGTCCTGCCTGTCCTGGGCACCATAGTGAGACCATGTCTCAAAATAAAAGATCAATAATAAGATCAGGGTGAGTTATGCACCTAAGTAGGCAGTGGTTGCCTCTCATGCATCCACAAGACTCGAAGAGCAATAATCCCCAAATCAAATCTGATTAAGAATCTTTGTCATACTGGGAAGAGGCCCTGGGAGAATCTGTCTCACCCCTGTGATAATGATCCTCAGAGAAGATGCCAGAGAATGGGATAGATAAAATCCCTAGGACCAGATGGCAGGAGCTTTCAGGTTTTATGCTCCATGTTAGAGCGTCAAACTACCTCTGAGTTAAGGCAGTGTCAGATCTGGGTTTAAAGACAGGAAATATGGCATCTACTTTTCTCCTCATGTTTCTTTATTTTCTGTAAGGTAAAATGTTAAGCCTTCAGCATGCCAAGTAAAATAAGCCAGACACAGAAAGGTAAATAAAACAGTTTATTCTCCCATAGAGGAAAGCTGGAATATGAACACACAATAAAAGCAGAAGAGGAGTGATACCGAGTGACTTTCCTTGGGTAGATGTTAGCAAACATCTATGTACTCCTGATGAGATAATGGTAGCAACCCAAAGGATGGATTCTGCTCAAGTCTGTCTTAAAGAAGCAGTGGGTTTATTGGAGGACACTTACAGATATATAAGCAAGGGATTACTTCGAGGAACACTGATGACTAAAACCTTCATTTTATACACACACACACACACACACACACCTTGCATGGGATATGATTTGTAAAAGCTATAGCCCTAGTGCTCTCTGCACGTGCAGACAGCTTAGCAATCAGAAAGTCTCTACTCCCTGATCAATTGGTACTATTCATAACAGCTGGAAAACCAGGGGCCTTGCGAGGCTTCTAAGTTTCAAGAGCTTCTGAGATTCCCATGTTTCACGTTGCCTTATGTTTCATTTGTTTTCTAAGGCTTATAAGCCCCTTTCACCCCTTCGGAAGAGAATGTTCAATTTAGAGGAACTAGCTATACAACACTCCTCCTCTTTCTCCATGTAGTGTGTGTGTGTGTGTGTGTGTGGTGTGTTGTTTTAACCCTTCCCAACTCTTTCTCACTGAAACCTGTTTCTTCCCAAAAGGTCATCTGACCACCACTTTGATGTATTTCATATATGTGACCAAAAGAGTGATTTTAATTTGAGCTGCTTGCATGAGTGGAAGCTTACTTACTGGAACATGGGCAACTTATCAGTGGCTGCACCTCTGAATAAAGCTATTTGTTGAAAGAGTGGCAATAATATATGTGAAATAATACAGTTCCTAAAACATGGATTCTCACAACTTTGATGTTTAAGAACCACTGAAAGTTTCACTTCTTGCGAGCATATTACCCCAGTGCTCTCGGCCGTCATTTCATAATATTTCCCTCTTACCTTCCTTAGTCTAAGCTCCACTGTAGGTTGCTTTAACATAGATCAGCGGCTCTTGATCTTCCTAATGTCGTGACCCTTTAATACAGCTCCTCATGTTGTGGTGACTCTCAACCGTAAAATTATTTTATTTCTATTTAAAAATTTTAATCCTGCTACTGTTAGGAATTGTAATGTAAAGATCTGATAGGCGGGATAGCTGATATATGGTCCCTGTGTGTGGGGTCTCGACCCACAGGTTGAGAACCACTGATGTAGATACTCCCAAAAAGAAGTAGCAGCTCAATAATCTTCCCAAATATTACAGTGATGAACTGAGAGCTCCTCACTAGAGCAAGCATTGATATATAGTGGATAATATTCAAAATATTTAAGAACTTCTGAGTCTCAGAACAAATGTGGTGAGTTTGAGCAAATGATTATTCCTTAAAATCACAAGTGGAATGCTAGAGCCTTGAATAAGGACCTGAGATTATTTTCAAAGTTAATTCTAGCATTTAACATGCAATATTTTATTTTTTATGTCATTTCATTTGCGTAGTCTTAAGTGTTCTAAAGCAGTGTTTCCTGGAGGGTGTGATGGATTTATGGTAATGTTGTCCTTGTTGACAAGTTATATTGGAAACGGGCATGTTATTTTATTAAAATATTTTAGAAATCGTGTTATTCCCTTTTGTGAAAACTGTCATTCCTCCTTTGATGGGCATCCTCTCGAGGACACCCAACCATCTTTCAAATGTTGATTCATGAACCATAGAATCAACTGCCCACAGACAAAACTGAAGGGCCCAACTTACAAAAATAATTTTAATCATCATAATTTTTAAATAAAAAGAGCAGAGAAATTAATACCCTAATAATATCAAATTCTACAGTGACATAAAACAGATATTGTGAAACACTTTGGATTTGCACAATCAAGTTTAGTCCTGGAAATTCACAACCTCTCAGGAAAACCTTCTTTCTACTTGACTCCTCAATATACTCCAGAGATCTATGACAGGAACAAAGCTCCTGGTTTTAAGAGAGACAATACCATAATTAAATGCTAGACTCCAGGTGTGAAATCAGCTCCACTGTGCACTTGTGCCAAAGGCCAAGTCCTTGGTGCCTGATTTTCTCCATCTAAAAAAATAGAAAGATAACCCCTTAGCCTATGCACATAGTAACTATTGTACTAGAATTTATAAATAAAAATTATTGTGTCTGGAGAAATTTATTTTACAAACTCAGAAGTGATTACAAGTTGCTAAAGGTCCCTAGTTTATGAATATGGAGAATAGAAGTGGATTATCTAAATTGAAGTATTGTTCAAGTATTTTATTTGCAAATAGATTGTTTTCATTACGCTAATTCTTCAGACTTCATGAAAGGGCTATAAAACACCAATATATCCTACCGAGAATGTAGCAGCAGAATTGTTTATGTGTTTATGTTGGGACATGTGTTAAGAAGTACATGATAAAAATAGTTCATGAAACAGCACACTCTCCAGAAAGCAAAATGCACTAGAAATGAAAGGACCTGTATAGATAAGGAACCCAAATGCTAGGTAGAATGAGGTGCTCTAAGAAGCCATGGGAAAGCACCATGGGGCTCTGTGCAGAGTCCCTTCATAGTGGCAGACCTGCGAGAAGACGCCGTGGAGGAGGCAATGGCAGAGGGCATGAGAATGACAGCAAGTTTCCTGCTGTTTCTTATGAACCATAATTGGCAAAGAAAGACACTGCCCTTGTTCACTGGGAATATAAAAATAATTGAGAGGCAGAAGATGTTCTCCTTCCAGAAAAGATAAAGGCAGCCCTCGCCACAAAACTCTGTGATTTTGGAAAGAGTGATCTTGGCTAATCAGTTGAAATCCCCTCGTTCTATGCTCAATAAGCCAGGCACTGAGAGACCACTCTGGAACAATCTGTCACCGTGCAGTAGGCATTGCCCTTAGTGAATAATTATTAAGTAGTTTTTCGAGACAGGGTTTCTCCTTAGCTTTGGAGCCTGTACTAGAACTAGCTCTTATAGAAGGCTGGCCTCAAACTCATAGAAAGTCACCTGCCTCTGCCTCCCGTGTACTGGGATTAAAGACATGAGCCACTATGACCCTGACTAGGGAATATTTTTAAACATGTTATTAACACACCAAATACCCAACAAGTAATCATAATAGTTATAAAAATTATACACTTCAGAATTACCTAGATATGTAGAATTCAAATTATAAATAATGTCTAAAATAAACTTCTAGTAAACTATTTTTAATCATCTCTCAGTAATCAGAAAATGCCCCGGTACACCAAAAAAAAAAAACAAAGATAAAAAGTAATGATTGATCATTGCAACATCAGCATGGCAGGATTAATTCTCAGTTAGATATTAACTAGTTCCGAGTTAAACTTTTCTATTTTTTCCCGCTGTAGTTCTTGTTTTAATTAAACAGCTGTACTAATTAACAGTAGGTGGTCTAAGGATTATGTGAGGCACCAATTATCAGAATTTAAAAATTGGGTACCTCGAATAATGGGATTAAGGAGTGGGAAAATTTGCATTCATATTCGGGACTCCAAGAGTATGAATCAAGTAGTTCTGCTTGTTGCTCAGATAGCACCTGCCACTGATCTGTCCAGACATGCCCGCTCGAATTATAGAGCAAGAACATATCTGAGTTTATTAGTGACGAGTTAATGAGAGGAAAGCGCAGTCTCCAACTGTCCCTGCGCACTTCCTTGATCGTCGCAGATGGACATGGCTTTCATTTTCCCGAGAAAGTGGCATTTACTAAATGTTCCCGTGTATTTCCTGCAACCCAAAGACTAACACTTGGATATGCATTAGTAACCCAAAATAGCCAGTTAGTGGGCACGGGGCCATGTCTGAGCTGAAAAATGTTTTGATACAGTCTGCTGAGAAGGCTTTCACAAATAATAAATATTTGAATTAGCCAAATAACCCATCAGGAGTGTATCCAGGAGTCTACAGTAGTCTGCTGTGAGCATTTGAAAATGACATCTTAGGAAATATATTATAGATATACTGGACAGAGCAATAAAATACTAGGCCAAAGAAACGAAGAACTAAAGAAGAGAACTAAGGTTTATCTCACTTTCATAAATGCTGATTTTTAAAAAGAATTAGGATATTTAGTGATTTTGCAATCCTGGAGGGTGTGACATTAGATTTAACGAATAGTTACAGGTTACATTTAAAACTTTTACCAAATTGTTTTCTAAAACCTTGCCTTTGATATAGAAGGCAAAGCTGTTCTACATCACTTCCTGAAATTACCTTTGACTGGGTTTCAAGATAGGCACCCGCCGTGGGACCAGCTGCCGAAAGTGTATTCTCAAACATTGCAGACGCCAGACTGCCTCGAACACCCTGTCCAGGACTTTGGTCTGGCCCTGCCAGAGGCCACCTGTTGCAGCTTGATGGCCTGGCTCTTGTGTAATGCAGGCACAAGGGTCTTCTTGCTTCGGGCGTGCTTCCTCGTCTTCCATTTTCCACAGTATGTGAGCGAAAATGGTTTCTGCTTGGAAACATTAAAGTCAAATCAAGAAATGAAGCCGCTTCTCGTCTCACCACAGCATAAGGAGCTGCGTGGTTTGAGAACAGGTTTATGTCGCTTTGACTCGTTGTTGTACTCGAAGCCCTAGTTTTATCGCAGATAGTTTACGAGACATCTTTATTCTCCTCAAAGAAACTCGGGAGTAAACCCGCTGCATTGACTATTTCAGTGAAGTGGATATAATGCCCGACCTGGGATATAAAGAGGTGTGTAATCTCGCTGGAGATGCATTACACTAAAGCCATAATGAAGTCATCAGATAGCACACTATGCTGGAGGAGGCCCCGGTAGGGTCTTGTCAGCCCAGCAGGCTCAAATATATAGACTCTTCACAAGTTCCATCAATGGTATTATTATCTGTGATGTTATTTTCAAATGCAGTGAACAGTTCCTTGTTCTATGTCTTTGTGTGGCATATAAATATTACATTATATATAACAGCTTCCATTTATTAATATATATTACATATATTCCTTCACATAGAGATATATAGAGATACAGATATATCCCTGAACAAAATGTCCCCCTTCTCACACAACATTTCTGTTCTTGGGGAATAGAGGATCTGTTAAAGCCATGCCCCGTATTTCTTTGTTAAAATACGTTTGCAACTTCTGTAATTCTAACTAGGTTAGTCACCTTTAGGAATCAGTATGGAGCCATCGTATCTGTACTGCAGTGTGTCTAGGATCCCAACAGCAGATTTTCTATCTTTATGGCAAGTAAACCATCTCCACAGATTCCCACAGCACTCGGCAAATCATGAGAGCTAGAGACATTGTCAAGGACCGTACCTGAAACCCCGCATGTCGCTTTGTCACCCCCAGTTCAGGCCTGCTCCATTCTCTTCCTCGCATGACAAGGCACGTTCATGCCACCCCCTAAATAGTGGCTGTCTGGTCCAATCCCAAGACCCTGGGGGACTCCATGTAAACATGGACGAAGAGCACTGTCGGCTCTGCACACTTCCTTTCTTTTCTTGCCTTTCCTTTTGACAATTCACTACTTACAATTCCAACATTTAAGCTACTGTAAAAAAAAAAATTAGCACCAAAGATTTTTTGAAAAAAAAAATTACTCTCAAAAACATATGATGGGAAATGGAAAGTCTCAAAGAAGCAGAAAGTCTTCAGAGTGAAGGGCTTAGTGATTTGTTTTTTTTAAGTAAGTATATAAAGGCATTAGAACCAAAGATGCATCCGTTGAGTGGGGAAATCTTTATTTTATATATCATCTCCCTTCATCCAACTTCTATTTATTAATATTCATGAAATGTTTAGAACTCTTTCTGGCATGCTGTAAGTTTGCTAAATAATTAAATAAGCACTCAAAGTTATTCTGAAATCAAACCCTAACAATATTTCTTCTTTGATTAAAAGCTTTGGTGGATTTTTTATTTTGAATTTAAATATTTTTACGGAATACAAATATAAATAATAAATAGTGGTTACCAGAGTAACAACGTGGGAGGGGATGAAGGTCGGCGTGAAGGGACACGAAATAGCAGCTATGTGGATGAACAAGCAGAAAGATCTCCTGTAAACCCAGGGGCTGCACAGGCAACAATAGTGTATTTGTAGCCAAGATGCTAGTTTAATGAGTAATTTATGCTGTTGATCTCATGAGTATGTGAGTTGACAATGAAGGCAAATATGCACCTATAAATTGGTAGTCCTTTAAACTTACAGTGGAGCTAAAATTTAGTTTTCCCTTCCCCATGTGCATATATGTTTAATACACATATACTGCTGTGTTAAACAGCACTGTATCGCAATTGTGCTCCAGTATTCAGTATTCAGTATAGTAATATACAGTTCAGACTTGTAGCCTATGAGCGATAGGCTATGCCACAGAGCCTAGGCCTAAAGTAGTCTAGAAGACTAGTTTTTCAAGAGGGACCTTAGATCATCACACAGGAAACAAAATAAGTCAGTATGACATCTCCTAGTATGTACCCTCATAAATAAAATATGTTTAGCTGTATATGAAAGAATCACAAACATCTCTGTTTTGGGTGAGTCCTGCGCTGTCCTTACCCAAATCTCTGTAGCACCGCTGGCAGCAATCCTTCAGAACTTTCTACCACAGGAAAGCATTGCCTCCAGCTTTCATGGCATGCTTTCGGCATAATTTATAGCAGCCATACTCTCCTTCAAGAATCTCTCCAGCGGGAGGACTCACATGGCAGCACCCCACCATTCCTTGCTGGGAACTGTTTGCAGCCTCTCTCTATTTCTGTTTCCATGTCTACCTTCCCATGGCCCCTTATAACTGCCGTCCAGGTAAGCTATAAGTAGGTAATCTACTCTCTAGGGCGTTCTTCTCAACCCTACATAGTCAATCTCTTCATCATCCATCCCACTTTACTCTGATAGAATCTATCAGTGGTTTCACCATGGCAGCCTGCATTGATGAAACGCCTTCAAGTTACCAGAGACATTCGTGTTTTAACATGCATCTTCAGAACAGTGATTCCGTGAGACAGGCATTAATAACACCTTCATTTTATAGACTCTACATACCTGGAGGTTGGAGCGTCTAAATTTAGATGCCCAAAACTTTGTGGTTTGAAAATTAAAGTTTGACACTAGCTAGCTTCATCTCTAGTGCAGTCTGCTTGAGACACGTGTCCTTTCTTACTTACCTGCCCTTACTCTAGTACCCAACAAACCCAGGAAGTGCTGTGGAAATATGATCACAATCAGTTCTTCTTCATGAGGTCAACACAATGAGGGGCTTAAACTCAAAAATTCAAAACATGGATAATGCTTTCCTGCAATAATCTCTTTTTTTCAGTTCTCATCACCTTCTTATTAACTGATAAAACTAGGACTGCAAGACCACAGTACGCAGCTTGCAGCCACAGTGATAACAGAAATGGAAAATATTTAATAGTAAACTCAAGCAATGTGCTTATAATTATTTTGTGTATGCACTTGGCAAAACTTATTTGATAGAGATCTATTCATTCAATATATGCAATTATATGTGAGTTATTATTTTAAGTAGGTCTTTCCCTCTATAAAATAACATTTCTAAAAAGAGAGAGAGATGCTCAAGTATGTAATCCAGGCTCAACTCAAATTTGATACCCTTCTCTGCGAGTTTTGGGATTTCAAGTTTAAGCCACCACACCAGAACTGTATAAAACATCTTAAAATAGAAGGGATAATGTATTTCTACTTATAGTTTCTAAAGACACTGTTAAGCATTAAGTCTGAATTATATATATTTTTCTGGTCTTTTCAGTGTATTCTTCTCATCCACCAGTTCATGGCCTCTTCTCCTCAGCCAGCCTTCCTGAGGTAGGGATAGCTAAGAGTGTGGGCATTGGAACCCTTCAGCCTCTGAGTCTGCCTTGCTCTGGGCTAACAGCACTGAATGCAGTCACTCCTTCCTTCTGAGCATGTTTTCTCACCCTTAGAAGTCGATTTTCTTCATTTCGTCATCTGTAAAATGTTAAGTTAATGTTCAACTTAAGTGTATTGTAGGGTCAAAGATTGCTTTCAGCATCAATGTCTCAACTTTCTGTTAGACCTCCCTACCTTCCTCCCTCCTTCTCTCCTCAGCATGGATCCTACCCTAGAGTATAGTTGATATACCCAGTGATGCTCATTTAGAAAAAGAATGATTTTCCCCTCCCATCAGGTATCAACTACAAATAGCTTCTTGGTTAGCGGTGGGACTTTGTGCCTTCTTTCCCTTCTCTATGCTTGGATTTTGTCTGGTTTAAACGTATGCAGGTCTTGTACATGTTTATATGTGTGTCAATCAGTCCTGTTGTGTCTGATAGATGCTGTTTCCCTGTATCCACATAGATCCCTGTGGATCTGGGGAGAGTTTTGTAAAGACATCCCGCATATGGCTGAGTACACATTGTGAAAGTCAAAACAAACAAACAAACAAAATCCAATAACACAAAAACATTTCCAGTTGTGAGTCTTTCTTAATTACCATCTAATGCAAGAAGTTTTTCTGATGAGAGTCCAGTGACACTTTGGTGAATTTCTTTGGTGTTTGTTGCGGTGTTGCTTTCTAGTTTCTGTTCGTTCATGCCCTTTCTTTCTTTCCATTTGGTTGAGCCACTGATCTGTCCATCTCTTTTATCTTTTCCTTTTTATCTTTCTTCTCAAATAACTGGTTCTTAGACAAACTGAGTCTTTGTATGGTTTTATTAAATAATAAAGAAATTGTTTTTTCTTATTTTCTTGCCATATACTGAATTGGGTTTTATTTATTCCTGCTTTCCAAAATATTTGGGTTGCATCATTAGGTCATGTATTGTACTCTTTCTGATTGTTTTAATATAGGCATTTAGAGATATACATTTTCCTCCTGGAACTACGTTTAATGTTTTCCAAAGGTTTTGTTGTGTTGCTTTCATTTTCATTTATTTCTATTATTTCATTGCTTTCTTAACTTCTGCCTTCAACTATTTATCATTCAATAATGAGCTGTCCAATCTCTATGAGTTCATGCACTTAGCACAAATTTGTTTACTATTTTAAGCTTTATTGCCTAAAGGTTGAATAGGGTACATGGAATTATTTCAAGTTTTCCACAATTGTTAAGGTTTATTTGTGTTCCAAAATATGACCTGGTTTTTGTAGAAGCTTCCATAGATTGCTGAGTAAAATGTGGCTTTTTTGTTTGCTTGTCTGATTCGTTTTGTGGTTGTGTTGGTGTGTGTGTGTTGGGGGGTATTTGGGTGTAATATTCTATAGATATCTATTAGGTCAATTTGATATAAAATGACATTTAATTATGAAATTTCTTTGATTACTTTTTGTAAAAATGGCCTGCTCGAAGAAAATGGGTGTTGAATTACCAATTTTTTGACTGGTGTTAATCTGTTTCTTTAATTATAAAGGCATACTTTATTTTTATTTTTGGTAAAATTGAATGCACCAGGATTTATTGCATATGTGTAG